ACTGTATTCAGGTCCGATAGGTGATGGAGACTCTTTGAGAGCAGAGATTATGGCCTTGCTACAAGGTCTAAGACTGGCTAAACAATGGGGCTTACACCAGATTGAGGTAGAAGGGGACTCTAAACTATTAATTGGGTGGTTGCAGTCACATAACTTGGGGGCCTGGGTACATCGACAATTCACGAGGGAAATAAACTGCTTAGCAAGGGAGGTTGGGGCACTGTTCAAGTGGACAAGGAGGTCAGCGAATGGACTAGCCGACACCCTTGCAAAGCAAGGAACTTTCAGGAAAAACTTATTTTGGGCTGTTCTGAAATCAGAAAGTACTTTTCTTGGGGTAAACAACCTTGACTGGGTGGTGACAATGTATTCTCTTAATATGTCTAATGAAAGTTACCGCTTCTGATAAAATAAAAATTGTCCCAATTTGATAGTCACATTAGATTGTGTTCTGAAAATTGTGTTATTGTTCTATCTCAATTTTATCAAAATTTGTGCTCTGATCAATTGCATTGCTTGGCATTAGTGTGCAGGGTGTCTCCAGCATCACAAATTAGTTGACAATCTTGGCCTTGTTGTTGAGTATGACTTGCGAGAGGATATAAGCACAGAGACAACTGCTGATCAAGTATGACGTGTGGCATCAGTATTCAGTGTTAAGCATATCATTCTGATCCTTTTTTTTTTTGTGAAACTGTAAAGTATAAAAGTTTCGGTTCTTCAGCAATGGTGATTGTAACTTAAATACCTTTTGGCCCTCAACATGCACAGTTCAGCTCAGATCACCTGCTTGTTTTTTGAAAATAAAAGGAATTCAATTTTTGAACAAAAAAAAGAAGAATTCAATTTGCAGGGTTGACAGCATATTTTTTTATTGGAGCAACGCTAGATTTTGGACATTTCTATTTGTTTCCTTTTGTTCAAATGTCTATTTGCTCATTGAGAATGCAATGGCTGGATCGATTCGTAAGGTTCAGAATTGAAGCCTGTACAGTATGAGAACTAATGCTTTTAGATTCCACAAGTCCACAACCTTTTACCAGCGAAGTTTGCCGTATTGGGTACCTGTGTCATATGTGCTGCATTGATACATAGTCTTTGCATTCAAGGAATCTCTCTCTCTCTCTCTCTCTGGGGGGGGGGGGTGAGTGAGGTTAGAACTGGACTTCAAAGTATCGATACAATACGCATTTTGACCATATCGTATCGGTACTTAGAAATAGTCAATACACACTTTTTTTTAGTTTTTTTTTCGAAGTTTGGTTTTTTGGGGAACTTATAAGATGTTTTTTATTATTAAAAAAAGTTAGGGGTCTGAAACTCTGAAAACAGGCATTTCGGACCGTAAAAAAGATACGAATACGATACTTTGAACCTTGTTTCATTGTTGTAGTGCAGAAAGTCTGCAAATTGAGCGAAGGGATTAAAACATAAATCTTCACTCTTGCATTCATCTTCAGTAGTAGCAAATTGAAATATGCATATCGTTTTAGTAAATAAATCAATCTTATCAAATATGGGTCGACAAAAATTCTAGGTCATAACTGCCAGAGGAACAAGAATAGCTATTCCAATCCTCACCCACCTAAGTAGTCCTCCGTGCTGAAAAGTTTCAATCCCTCCATTCTGCAATTGAATAAAGTGGTCATTGGAATGCATTTGATGCAGTGATATGTTAAAAACTTGTAGTAAAAGGTGGTAAAATGGTGAATATTATGCAAAAGATGGCTTGCAAGTTGCAATGATAGAAAATAGGAAAAAGGAAAGCTATATTACCGGATTCGGTTCCGGGGCAGGAGCCAGTTCCATTTGATCATCTGGGTCTGAAGTGACAGGTGGTGCTGGTAGACTAGGTATTTTTGGCACTGGTGCTGGTGCTGGTGCTGGAACTGGTGCATGATGATGTTTCTTGTGCTTGTGTTTCTTATTCTTTGTGGGAACTGGTGCAGGTGAAGGCACCGGAACTGGTGCTGGCACTGGTGTCTCCATAGCTGGTGCTGGTATTGGCACCAGTATCTCCTTAATTGGTGCTGGTGCAGGCACTGGCAATTCTTTTGATGGTGAAGGCACTCCTGCTGGTTGTGGTGCTTGCTTAGCTGGAGCTGGTGCTGGTGGCTTCCTTGTTGGTGCAGGTGGTACTTCTGATGGCGGCAAGAGTTCTGGTGGTGGTGGTAAAGCAGGTGCTAGAGGTGGAGATGTAGCTGGTGTTTTGGAAGGAGCTGAGAAAGGTGGAGAGTGATGGAGTGATGGACTTTGAGAAGGTGGAACATTTGGGCTTGAAGCCGGTGGGAGTCCAGGAGATGGTGAAGATAAAGGAATTGTGGCAGGAGATGGAGCAGCTGTGTTGACAGAACTAGAAGGTGCTATCTTTGGTGCTTGGGCATTGGCTATGCCGTTCTGAATGCAAAGGCAGTACAAGCAGAAAACCCACCACCAGAAACCCTCCATTTTCTTTGGGATGAATGGATGATAGCGCAGAGAGGTAATTGGGTATATATATAAAAGGGAAATGGACTCAGAAACAAAAACGTTTGGTGAATGAGGGAGATGTAGTCTTCAAGCGAATGGACGTCCCTACTACTGATTTGGAGAATAAGACTGTCAATGGGAGGAGCTGTGGTTAAACGTGCTTCTGAGGGAAAGGTCGGTTGCCTTGCTTGATGGCCCACAGACCTGGCCAATGAATGAATAATAGTAATCTCTTCCAATATTGTTGCTTAATTAATCAAGGGTCTGGACTCTAACTCATGTTGGTCCAAATTCCTGAGTTCTAACTTGCTGACAACCCGAGCTTGAGATAGAAATGTTCTCATTCAAAGACCACCTGAGTACCAAAATTGGATCTTCCTATGTGGGTCGGACTCGGAGCTTCAAACAGCCACCATTACACTTTCAGTGATTGAGATATGCTTCTACCAATTGCATACATTAATCCTAGCAAAACATCTGGCTTTCTTAAATGATGAGGATGGTAATGGTGATGATCCTTGTAGTAGGAAAATTGGAATAAAAGTTAGCCCAGACTGTAGGTACACCATCTCTACCAAAAATGGAAGAAAAAGCAGGACCTTCCGGTAGGATGTGTTTTATTTGAGTTATGTTTATATGAAATCATTAGTAGAAGAGGGAACCTGTATCATCGGTGCCCGTCTAGCTCAGTCGATAGAGCGCAAGGCTCTTAACCTTGTGGTCGTGGGTTCGAGCGCCATGGTGGGCGCTTTCTTTTCGTTTCTTTTAATTTTTTTATATGCACTAATGAAGTTTATAGAAGTGTGTAGGCGTTTTTCAATGTTTTCCTTTCAGGACTTGACTCTCATAATGAAGCTTCCTGACTTACAGTGAACCCCTCCATCTCTATGTGGAGAGCCTCAACTTTTGTTTTTTTTTTTTTTTTGAAAATTTTATACATTGTGTCCTAGTTATTTACTATAAAAGGTGAAGGAAAGAAGATGTTTTAGAACATAAACAGATGAGACAAACATTATAAATGATGGTATCTAATGTTCATTATTTACTTTATGAGCCAAACTTAACATAATTGATTCTTTTTTTGGTAAATTAATGCAATATTTAGTTAAATGGCAAAAATGTTGAGAATCAATATTCAATTATTGAATTTTTTTAACATGTTAAAAAAAAAATCATTGAATCAGATGGGCAAAACTGTCCTTAATCGTATCCTCCACCCAAGATTAGTATTATTTTGAGTCTGACCTTGAAAATAAAAATTACCCAAATTCCAAGTCTCTATTTTGGTTTTGTGAATGCAATAAAACTTAATTTTAACAAGTTATTCCTTCTGTTTTTTTTTTTGTTGCTAGGGAATTACATTTATAGCAAGATTCTGTTACGATGCTTGTAATATACCATGAACATTATGCTTAAATTTGTATTCATATATAAAGAGAAGCTGTAAATATATGGCATCCCAAACAGATTAGGATAGGTGGAAAAGATGGACAACCTAAAATCTCCCAACAAGTAACAACTTTTTATGTTTTTTAGCCTGCCATTTGATAATTTTTTGATCCGAATTGTTGGTCGGGCTCCTCCACAGAAGGATCACTATGCTTAAAAAGCATACCGCAGCAGTCGACCCTGCAGAGATCTCATGATATCAACATTTGGATTCGATTCGTAAGCTGAGTGCCTTTTTCTTTAGGAAGTATCAGCTATCAAATTGTTAGCCTACAAGGAAAAATTACTGGTGCAAAAGGCAAGGGTATCTGTAACCGAAGAAAATTTTAACTCAAATTAGATTGAGAAGATTATGCTTCACTGTGCCACTTTACAGTCATGACCAAATCAGCAATCTTTCCGACTCTTACAAGCAGAACATGATGCTAAAGATGTCATGCATCTTAGAGAGAAATTTTGATGGGTGATTAGAAATAGGCAGGCATGAAGGTGGTGGAGTTGGGGGCTCAGGTTTCTTCTCCTTCTTCCTCCTCCTCAGCTGGAAGAACTGTTGCATTACATCTGCACACTCTGTTGCCAATATCCCTCTGCGTATCATCATCTTCGGGTGAAAGGGGTGGACTGGGCCAGCAGGTTGATTTGGCACATCTGATCCGCTTCCTTCTGCACCTCCACCAGGGAAAAGCCTGCAATATGATGCTCAAGTCAATATAGAAGAATTTTTAAGACCTTTTTAACTCTTTTTACATATCAAGTTTCTTAATTTGCATTGCCAATAGTCTAATACTACATTTTATTCATTTGTTTAATCATCAATGTTATTTTTTGTCCTTTTGCAATTTAAGAGGCTCTACGGGCATGAAACCCACGACACTAGCATTTCTCAAAAGATCAAATTTAATCAAGGTGTATCTATGTTATATTTAACTAATATTTAAATCTATGCATCATCAGGTATTCAGGTGATTCAGGTTCACAAGTTGATAGAGCCCAAAAGTGGGCATTAGCTACAGGCCTAGATCTATGGTAGACATGGGAGAAGCAAATGCAGAACGCAGCATCCTTTCCCAGAAATTTCCAATGTTAAAACTCATTCAATGATCACACCACCTGACAAATGCACCTTCCAAGACAGAAGAAAATGGAAATCAAGCCAAAAGAAAATTGATATGCTTGGATGGCAGAGATCACCTAAGCAGATGCAGAATTAGCTAACAATATCTAGGCACTTCCACCAAATGATAGGCCCCTCCCACCTACATGTGACCATACATAATTACATACAGATAGATCACTGGTAGTAGTAGATATTATATGATCCACCTAACTGGGACTAAACTGTTTGGGCCAGGTCCACCCGTTAGATCAAAACTTATCTAACCCTATTACATAGAACCCAGACCTGTAGGGTCAGTACCAGGTCTACCCTAATTAGCCTGATAAGGACCAAAACTTATTATATTATATTTTATATTATAATTAGCATATAGTTATAATCAGGTTGGTTCCAGGCTACTGGGTCCAGTCCATCCCTGACAAGTTGACTGCCCAAACTGGGATGCCATTTTCCTCGATAGGCAGATGAGAAATATGTAAATACCCATATGCATATAAAAAATAACAAGTAGAGATACAGACATGGATAAATATCATGAATGGAAATGAAGAAGATATTCACATTTATATCCTAACAAACAGTAGAAGTTCAGGACTGTTATCAGTCTTGAACCCTAATGGATTTCAGGTTCGAAAATAAGAAGAAAGGTAAAGAGAAAAAGGAGGAAGAGGGAAGAGAAGTGGTAGAACACAAGAGTTGAAAAAGGAGGAGCAGAAGCTAG